TATACCGACGAAGAAGTTTGTCCAACTTCAACCAATCCGATTTTGATAGCATAGAAACTTCATCGATTACAAGCATGTCAACACCCACAAAATCTGCAGCTAAGGCCCGTTCCTGGGAGAGCAAAAAACTAGCTAAAGACCTTTCTTGAATAAGCGTGGCAGCTTTTCCGGTCAAAGCTGTTTTTAATACACACGTACTTGCCGCGTTACTGCGTCAATTACGCAACTTTTTTCTGTTCCTCCAGCACCACCAAGGTAAAAGAGAAGCTGATCGCAAGAAAGCTCTTTTTCAAAATTTAAGTCTTGATAGCTAGCTTGGCTTGGATGCATTCGTAGCCATCTCGTTAGTAAAGCTTTGCCGATCTTGCAAAAGGCAACATGTTGAAGCGGGTTTATTGTATATTATTTTGATACCGCGGCTAGTGTCTGAAAAGCAGATTCACTAGTTTGACAAAGCTACCGGAGTTCCACAACATATTTTCAGGCTGTAATGCAACCTGAATAAGCTCTAGGACTTCGGTCGATTGGGTCTGTAGATCTTGTAGATTATCTTCGAATACCACTTTGCTGTCAAATTTGTCATCTTTCACCCACTCTCTTCAAAATCCAACCTGAGGAAAACGAGATGACCCGGACGTAGACTCGTATAACCGAGCCGAGGCCGAGGCCGTACGCGATGCGGGCTTTTTGAGCATATTGTTGTCGATAATGGCTTCTATAGCATCTTGGGGATGCTTAGAAGGGTGTTGGATGGCTGGATAGCGAACAGGGTTCAAAACGGAGGTCTCATTCGGGTTGACATCGTGGTCACAATCCATAGCGTAATTTGGCCGACAGCCGCCGACGCCAGCCGACAGAGCAGTTATTGGCTAAAAAGAAACAAATCTTCTATTCACACCGAGCTTCCTTCAAACCTACAAACACTAGTGCATACAAAAATCATTTTTAGGAACCATCGATATACAAAATATAAAGATGAGTCTTACCTGAATCCTGTCGCCCACTGCACGCCTGCGCCCGCTCAACGCTTCATTGTTGCTGTAATACTGGTCGTTGTATGCCGCACTGCTCTCTGCATGCCGGGGCCCCCGCCTCCCTCAGCGTACGGACGCCCATTGCACGGCTGCGCCCGCTCTACGCTTGCCTTACTCTGTTTGAAACTGGTTCTGCTTGTGTCTGTTGTCTGTGTCCTCGATGCCTCTACCGAGGCGGTTCCACCACTTAACGGCGTAACCTTGCTGTTTCGTGATACTGTGAGACCGCGTCAAGCTCGGTGTCTTGCTTTCGCAGGGAAACCTTGCTGTGCGATGTCGTGGCAGCTTCACCTTTTATCTACGGCAATTCCAAGAAGGGAGTATGCAAACTACTATTTGCTGTTGTTGTTTTCATTCTGTGTTGTACACAGGCACCTCAACGAAGACGCCGAGCGGTAGAGCGACCACCTCCTGCCTCATCCTCGATGAAGGTGCGCCGAACTAGAGCGCGTCGTCGACGTTCGAAGGCAGGAACCATGCGGTGCGGCAAGTTACTGGCTGGTTCCTCGGTGTCCACCCAATTAACGACGGATAGTCGGCGACCGTTCCCCCTGTACGAGTGCGTGATGCGACGGATGTCATACACCGGTGGAGCTGCCAAAGATGCTGTCGGTCGCCACTCCGTTTCACTGTCGCTGCTGCTGGTGGAGGTGCCAAGGCCTGCACGACCAAAGGCGTCATCGCTTTCCTCTTGGTCGGTCAAAGTGAGATCGACCACGTTGTCAACACGCGGTGACGGCTTCTCTTCAGCGGCTTCTTCCCCTTCGGACAATTTCTCTTCGGTAGTTTCTTCTCCTCTGAATGGCTTCACTTCAGCGGCTTCGTCTCGGTTTGACGATTTCGCTCCTCTGGATGGCTTCTCATCGGGGACAGTGTTTGAAGCTGTCAAGATCATCGGCGAAGACTTCTCTTCTGCGACGCTGGGTGATATCGGTAAAATCGCTTCGGTCATGTTCGGAATTTGCGCTGTGTGCGGTCTCTCACCACGTCGACGAGCCCGCATAGCTAGGACGTGACGTCCTTCAATACGCCGTCCAGCCAGCTCCAAAAGTGCAGCGACGGTAGCGACCAAGACACTAGAGATTTCAGCGCGGAGGTCAAGGCGAAGGTACCGTAGAGCCTCACTTGTAATTCTTGCTCTAGGAAAATTAAGTCTAATGCAACTTCTGACCGCAGTCTCAAACCCCTTGCCACTAAACTGTGTCATTGCAACCTTCGTAGTAAAACCTGAAGTGGGTAAGTTGCTCGAATTGAAAATGGATATTTTTTGAAAAACTACATATGTTTTCAAGTGCGGTTTTTTTTTAAAAAATGCAACGACAACGCCCAAAAAGACATCCAAGAAAAGATTCCAAATTAGACGAAGCGTTTTCACTATGCGAAGTCTTTCGTTTCCTCTGGTACCTGCTGAGACGCCAGCCTTTTCTTGCCGTGCGCTTGCTACCTGGAGGACTCGGTTCACGTAACCTTGCATTTTTAACGGAGCTGATGTCTGACGCTTTGTCACTATACCCGACGCAGTAGCCTCATCTTCGTCGAAATGATCGCAGTGTAGAAGCAAATCCGTTAGAGGAGTTTCATTCATAGGAGGCGCCTTCTTCGTCTGAGCGGTTCGCTGAAAGTTGCTTTAGAACGAGAACCGACGAAACCGGAAAAGTCTGCATCACTAGCGCCATCTCAATGCAATGCAGAGGGCACGTGATGAAAGAATTCTTGTCGGGAAATAGAGATAAGCCTTGCTCCTCTGACGTTTTAGCGCGGATCAGCCGCATAAAGAGAACGTTTCCAGAAGATACTGACAGGTTGCACTTTTGTATAAAGGCTAGATCAGACGCCCGTCCAAAAGCGTATAATGGCGAGTAGTGTAGCGTCTTGGTATTCCTTTGCTGAGCTTGCGTCGAGGTACAATACTTCAATTATAGACCGCAAGTCATCCTTGGTACAGGCTGGAGCCTTGGACACGGTGCCACGCTGTTGACGCTTGAGACAGTGTCTCTCTAAAATGCGTCTTATCTTGAGAAGATGTTTCTCGATAACATGTCGATGCTGAGGAAACTCGTCCAGCAACCGGTTCTTCACGATGCGGTAGTAACTCATCACCGTGTTGCGCTTGCGTAGCTCGCCGCCTCGACCACGACCAAATGTGAGATGCATCGCAACCGGTCAAGCAGCGTTACAAAGGCCGATCCCTTGACGTCCGCCAGGACAGTGCTGCGTACAAATTCAAGCGAGGTGTGCTCCGACTCTAATCCCTTGAATATGTTGATCGCTGTAGCCTGCGCTCGCTTAGTATTCTCGGGGGCGAGGTCTTGGAGATTTTATAGTGAAGTGTCGGCTGGCTGCGTGATGTTAGGCAAGTATGCGAATAACTTTATCTTTGTATAAGCGAAAAAATGTCGCAACCGACATGATGCGTCAGCCACGTGTCGGCCACAACTTAATCTACCCCTAAACAATTGTATTGGACAACATTAATCAGACGTTGTGTATGATTTGTTAAAAACTTAAAGTAATTGTGCTATTGGCTCGCTCCTCACTTACTCAAACCTAGTATAAAGTAGTTTTGTCGGTAGTTTAATGATATTCATCCATGTCGTAATCACCTTAGCCAAATAAAGTTCGTTCATTTTCATTATCGCCAGCATTTTCAAATGGATATACCGTTGTCGATTCATAATTTGAATCATCGGAATCACTGTCGCTGTTTCCACTATCTTGTGTACAGTACCACTCTCGATCACATGCAGCCTTTATCCATCCCAAATAGTAATCATCCATATTTGCCATTATTGTTCTATCAAAGTCAGTTCGATGGCTCTCCCATGCTTCATAAGCGTCTATCCATTCCGTATTCGTAGGCGCAACGCAGTCCACGGGGTCAACAATGGTACGAAAAGGATTGAATAACACTAGCGCTATTTTCGCGCGCAGAACTCGAATTTCTGTCGGTTAACAATCATCCACAGTCGGCATTCGGAGGCCAAGTATAACCGGAACTACATCTTGCGAGTGCACACCAAGACAGTGTGTGACATTAAGAGGGTGATTATCGAGAAACAGCACCTCTTCATGTGTAGCCTTTGTCCGCCGCCGCAGAAAATACTTCATGCAAAATATGTGGAGATTCACAGCGTGCTTTTTGGATGGAAGATACAGATAGTCGTCAAGCAAGGTTACAGATCGATACAGATTAGTAGCCCGATTTTCTTGTACATCTGCATCGTTCTCTGTCTCAACCAAGTCACAGGAATTCTCGCCATCGCCTAAATGCTGAGCGAATATGTGAAGTAAATGAAGGTTTTTGCAGCGAGACCTGGAATAAGCACATGACCCACGTTGGATTTACCAAGCCACCAGAGGTCCAGCCATTTCTTGCCGGGTCGTCAAGTTAAATGCTAGAGCAGCCACCCGTTTCTTGCTGACTTGTAGATTATCTGATTTCACCACACCTTCGTTTTGTTCAACCAGCTCCTTGTCCTCTCGTCGTTGGAAGGCCGCAAGACCGACTGCGGCGACAGAATCAACTTGATGCTGTGTCTTGGTGACGTATTTGCAGTAATAGTAAATGAGATTAACCACATTTTTCCCTCCAAGTAGTATTTGGATGTCGTGATTTGATTTGAACGCTGCCATCATGACAGGATTGAACCCATTTATATACTCGTGCGCTGGCTTCAGATACAGTTGTACACCTTTCGCGTTGAATGCTGTGGTCAGCACCGGTTCGTGTGGAAACGAGTACCTACAGACTTCTGAACTCGGTATAGCACGCGAGTTCTTAAAACAACTCCCCGTGCGTGTCCACCAGTGTTCGTTTAACAGAAGAACCAAGGCCGACATCATGAAAGCAAATACTTTCTGAGTGAGTCGGTGATCATCCGGCATAGGCGGTAGTAGCTCTATTAAATGCACAATCGGGTCATCTCGCAAATCAACTACGTCATTCAAGTCTCGTAATAAAACATGTCCAGTCCATACTGAAGCCAAATCATCTACCCATCGGTGTAAGTACTCACGCTTCTTGACCCAGCTTATCGTATTGTCAAAGTCGTATCGGCAATGTGCCTCCAGTTTTGCACGACGATATTTGCGCCATTTGGCAGACGCGCGGGGGCCACACTGGAGGACGGTTCGCTGTTAACACGCCTCGTAAGATGTGCTGAGAACTCATTTCATATTTACAGATGCTACATCTTACTATCAGGGGTTGTTGGAAATTATCTTCTGTTTTTGGAGCTGCGAAAGCGCGCGATGGTATTGGAATTGGTTCCAAGCTTCTATACGAAGCTCCACATGCTTGACAACACTGAGTATCCACGGAAAGGGGTAACGTGTTGGTGACGATACTCGGAGAGTATGCTTCAACTGACTGTATCAGCATCAATTTTGTTGTTTCGTTACCGATTAAGCGTTCAAAGACATCACTGTTGCGAGGACAATTGCTCAGCCTGATAATGAAATGAGCATGTAATGTCCCTTCTCGTGGTGTCTCAACTATGTCGCAATAAGCCTAAACAGGTCCAAACAAACCTGGAAAAGATTTCGCTTTTCCTGTTTTCTTGTCCACTCCGAAAACATCTTCAATGAATTCATCAATATGTCTCATAAAAAGACGTGCAAATGCGACATCATTCCTCATTGCAGCTCTGCGTAGTTCTGCTTTGGAAAGAAATTTCGACTCTAAACAGTCGAAGATACTAATACCAGTATACTGAGCCATCGCAAAGGAGGTTCCTGTATTCGGCTTGATAGTAACAAAGAGGGCTGACTGACCAAACCGTGTCTGATACGATAATGCCTCCCTCCGACACCGCTGCCGTTCCATTCCCCCCCCCCACACACACACACACACAGCGAACCCGTGCCTTTGTCAATTGTTCGTAGGAAACGCTCTGCAGGGGATGGGTTCATTACATTTACCGCTAGTCTCCCCTGTCGGCGCAATTCATTCTTGCAAATCGCTTCTGAAAGCTGTTCACGAGTGATGGCTTCATATCCCCGGAATATGTTCGGGTTTCAATGGCAGTTTAACGAAACACGCATGACCATTCTCTGCGTTGATAATTGGTCGAAGGGACCAGCGAAAAAGTGCCGTCTTCTGCAAAACGCCTGGAGCTGTGCATACTATAGTATTGAATTCACGACTGAAGCGGAACCGACACCTTTCGGTTTTCGCCAGGATGCCCGCGGCCAAACGGAAATAAGTGGGGAAACATCATCCCGTAAATACGTCCGTCGTCGTCCCACGACAACTTTGACGAGTTTCGAACAAGAAAACGTCTCTCAGTCGAGGTAGAATCGGATGGTAACTTGGTCACTGTTTCCAAGATATTGGAAATGGTACCGGCAACTTTGACGTCTTTCAATCATTTTGCGTTCATCTTCCAAATTGTTTACAACACCCAAATCATCTTTCGCACCGACACGGGCTTGATCTTCATCCACGCGTTCAACAATCGTCTGAGGGACAGTTTCCGCAAAATCAAGAAGCTGTTCAACAACAACACAGCTGGAGGAGTCACTGGTGTTCTCGTCACTAACGTGCATATCGCTGTAAAAATGACTGTTATCTATATAAAAGCGAAGCAACTATTGCACCACTTTGCCTCGGACGATGTGAAGGTTCCGTATTTATTCAAGTTGAAAATCGGTTATAGATCCTGCTGCAACCACTCTGTAGGTACCGATTGTATCTAGACTCGACGGAAGCAACGTGACTGGGGGGCGGGAGAAGCGTCAAAGGCCATACTATGCGATCTAATTGAGCGATGAGCACCACCACGCATTACACGTGCGAAAGCAACCACAGTCATTAATTGCGTCACCATGCGTTCCACTATCGTAGTATCTACCAGGTCTTCGCAAAAATTGCCAATAACAATTCCATTTCGAATCGAGAATTTAGGGAGCGAAGACTTTTGAACTTGGCCATTACATTCGATACATACACGTAAACGAGCAACACCATCCTTCGTAACTGGTAGTATTCCTTTAGCCGACAACATCATACAGTGCTGTTATTAACTATAGGGACACTTATAATTTTGTTGTTCTACCCGCATTACGCGGAATTAGATCGTGCAACTCGGTCTCAAGCTGACTTACACAATGACTGACAACTGGCAGAAACGGCTTTTTAAAAAATGTGTGTACTGAAAATTCTAAAGTAAAATTGCCATTTTAGGGGGTGTTCCTATCTATAGGGACACGAGTTAGAAGGTGGTCTATTTATCAATTGCACCGCCATTTTTGAGAACAACCTGTCGGCATACCTTTCACGAGCCCTTGTAAGTAGCTCAGCTGAATTTTAGCCCAGCTTCGCGCGATCTGCGCCTTCAACTCGTCTCTGGTGTCATATTTGACGCCCTCCCTCGTAGTCAGACCATGCTAGCTGACCCCACACGTTCTCAATAGGGTTTAAATCAGGGCTCTTCGATGGCCACTTTAGCTTCCTAATGTCTAGCGCCTCAATATGGGCCTTAGTGAACATAGATTCGTGGATTGAGGCATTATCTTGCTGAAAAATAGGCATCCCAATGCCATGGTTTTGGCGAAGGTTTTCGAGGAAGATAAGCAAGTTGTCCAGTGTGCTAGTGTAGCAGGCCGAGTTTTGCTTTCCCTCAAGCAATCTCAGTTTTTCCAATGAAGTTCATGCCAGCCCACACCATTACGCTGCCACCACCGCTTGCGCGCTTCGAGAAGATTTCTTGGTCTTTCCGAACGTCGTGCCAATAGTATTGGTACCCGTCCAGACCGTCCAAGTTGAACTTCTTCTCGTCGCTGAAGATGACGCGACGCCAGATGGTCGTTTTGCTTTGAAATTTGGTAGCAAAGGCGGCCCTAGCCACCTTGTGATTCGGCTTGATGGCCGGTGACGGTTTCCTCTTGATCCACTTGGCGATCGCCGACGAGTTAAGCAGCTTTATGACGGTACTTGAGCGTAGTACGCGACCTATTGCCTCCGCAATCCGTTTAGAAGATAGTTTTTTACGGTGGCAAATCGCAGCACCTGACGGATCAGGCGCTTAGTGCATTTCGGGCGCCTTCCTAGGCGTTTTTTTTTGGTAGCGTTGGAGGTTGAAGGACGTTGAACACAGCGTTGACACTGCGGCCTATTGCACGGGCAATCTAGAGGGAGAAAGGAACAGCTCCGAGCTAATTGCATAATTTTAGCCACTACAAATGAAACGTCACTTCAGTATCTTGACAAACAATTAGTGTCCCTATAGATAGGAACACCCCCTAAAATGGCAATTTCACTTTAGAATTTGCAATACGCACATTTTTTCAAAAGCCGTTTCTGCCAGTTGTCCGTTTTTGTGTATGTCAGCTTTAGACCGAGTTGCACGATCTAATTCCGCGTAATGCGAGTAGAACAACAAAATCTTGAGTGTCCCTACAGATAATAGCAGCTCTGTATCATGCAATTCTTGATGAATGTAGCCACAGTCGTAATACTCGATGAGTTTCTCTGGTAAATCCAATCCCGTTGAGCTCAAAAGCGAACACATTTCTTAAAAGAGTAGTCTGCAGTGGTTACTAGGAGGGTCTGGTCTCTTAATACAAATCGGTCGCAAACTCCGCAAACACACTCGTCCAATTTTTCAGCGCTTAACGCAACAGGAAGGCAGCGCAGCACCTCGCCCTGGATGTTGTCAGATATAGGTTCCAGCACTAAATTAGGGACTTAATCATCACCACGATGTCGCACTTTATATTCTCTCGCGTTTCGGAGCCGCTTAGATCTCTGCTCCTCCAATTCACGGGATCGGTACCGTTTCACTGCCGCTCGTTTTTTTTTGCCTTTGATTGGTAGCTCAAAAAGAACGCTTCTTTTCAAAGCGCGAATTAAAACCAAGGCTAGTAGCGCCGTTGGCTCCCGTAATATAGTATCAACTTGTTGAAAAATACTGGTAGCAACAACTGAGTCTTCGATTACTGATGCTTTGATGGTTTTCTGCATACGTCCCGAAATGTGCAACGCCTTTGAAATTGTTTGCTCTAAATCCAATCTTTCTTTGTCATCTCAATCCGGGTCAAAAAGTAAAATACTCGAAAAATTGCCTTTCTCGTTAATACAGTGTTCACAGCACAGATCTCCAACCGGACAATTGTCTTCACAGCGTGTACACATCCCACGGCTACTGCGTTTACGCTTCTTCAACTGCATACAATCCAAAGACAGACGCAGAGACCAATTGAACGCTCAGCAGCCGACTGAATATATCTCATAAACGGGTCTGTCATACTTGTGCGAGGTTTTCAAAATGGCGAGTCTGTTTCTTCCAATAGACGGTAAAGCAGCTAAAGGCGCAGACGTGAAGCAATAAACCGAGCGCTTGGCAACCACAATCAACTTGAAAACCGTCTCGAGTCAACACGTAAAGCCACAAACCCGTACTTGGAAACCTCCGGTATAGATTTGGTTGAGCTGCTGACAACGACTGCGATAATTACCTCTTCAACGATGGGCAGGTTGTTGCGGTAGCTCACACCACAAGTTGCTCACGCGTTAGGAGAACTGAAACGATATTAAGCACGCTCTCGAGTCAGCAAGAAAATGCAAATGCCACTGAAAATCCACGTAGCTTTTGAAAGTAGTCCTTATACATCAGTCAACGCTGGTACAGGTTCAAGGTTTGTCCCAAATTCAGAGCAATTCCAACCTGCGCCGACTCCTCCTGCTCACTACGTATTCTCGTCGGGATCGGAAAAACGCGCGTCGACGAACTGTTGATTGTTTTTAAACGGAATACAAGGGAATATACGCGAAAGACACGTCTGATGGATGGATAGGCATTCTCTAGCTTCACGTAGCCAAACGGTTTGGTGAAATAACTTAACTTGTTAGTAGGGCGTTTGAAAAATCATGGGTCCTTTTCCCACCTTTTTCGTAGGTAAACGGTTGGAGATTGGAACATACAAAGAATTGTGCATGAAAGAGACATGAATAATATCATCGTATCGATGGGGATCATGTAGGGGTCTCACGTTCTTCACAGAAATATTTTTTAACAAGCAATCATGCCATCTCCCAAGAAACATGATTCATCAACTAAAGCTGAGGCATCTCAGCAAGGCCCTAGGAAGCTCAGCAATACCAACAAACGGGCCTCCACCCATGCCGATGGACGAGCTGTAGCCCAAAACTTTGTCGTCGCTGACTCCTCGATTAATGAAGAAACCAAGATATCTACCCGGTACAAAGCAACCGCCAAAGCCGACGTATCTTTTAGAGAATCGGCTTACAACCTAAGTAAACGTCCCGTTGAGGGGCAACACGGCGCTGCCAACGGTGTACTTATCTCCTCGTCCACTATGTGTGCCGAAATCAGACCTTCCCCACCGACTTCAAATTCGACTACCGAGAACGAAACAACTGACCCCTCTACGACTAGCAAACCCGCGAAGTTGCCACCTGCGCCGACTCCTCCTGCTCACTACGTATCTCCTGTAAAGCGTTATCGTCTACTCCGCGCGGAGCAGGCAGCGGATCGCGAAATTGTGACAGCGGTGGAGCAAATGCAAGATTTCATTCGAGTCAATGACGTCAACCAGCCGACTGTTCGTGCACGTCTTCAGGGCAGAGGTAGAGTTGTCTGGACGTCCACCCACATTGTTAAGACGGGGGAGCTTTCCTGTATTCATATCGTTGACCTCCATGCCCAGAATCGCTGCAAAAGTTGCAGCAAGCATTTCGAGATAACTATGATCGTGACTACTCGGAGGTGGAACAACTTCTGGTAACAGCAACGATTTTCGGGTGCACAGTGAAATCACCAGGGATTCCGCCCGACGAAGCCATTGTGACGATCACGAACCCAATCAAGGCGGGCTTATTATGGGCAAAGCGTGCCAGCTCAACACCAGGCTGGCGAGCATGACCATTGAGGAGGAGGGCGATGGTAGCAATTAGCTGGCCGTGAACTGTCCACAGGGCGGTACAGCCTGTGATAGCAGACGAAAAGAGTCACTGCGCCAACAACTTGTATATGCATATGATGATTTATGTGAACGTGATTACGATATGGAAAATGATTAAAGAACGAAGACATGAAAGCGCGTGAAACTTCGACTACTGAGAAGGAATGATCGGGAGTGCCCGCTAGAGATCGGCATAGAGCAGACGAAGGGGAAGAGACAAGCACCGAGTGCTCAATCAGACGACAGTCGCCGAGCCGCTTCAGCAAGCACGCCCAGAGACGTGTCACTGCTGCTCACCTTCTCTTCTTCAGGGGGAAGAGACGAGCGAGCTGCTGGTGGAGGAGCGGGAGTACTTGAATCATCGACACCGCTTCCTACTGTCGACGCAGCCGCAGCCGAATCCCCAGGCACTGCTCCCGTGAGATAGCGATCTTGCCAGTCCGGGATTAACTCGGGAGGTTGCAAGCACGGGTTGACAATGATCGACCTAGCGACCTCATTAGCCTTTGCTGCATCGACAGCGCGGGGACAGAAGATAGGAGCCTCGCGATTGCACGGCACGTAGTTCGTGGTTTACGGGTGATCGAATGGTCGATACACCCACGGTTGTCGATCCACCAGCGCAGGAACCTCCGCGAGCGAGTCGGTTGTCTTGGGAACGAACGGCAAGTTCTCCACCGGATACCAGGGAACGGGAGGCTCGATGATCATCTCTGGGCAGATGAGCATGCGTTGAAAGGCCGATGCGGACTCCAAACTCCATTTCAAGTACTGCAACTGGTACATGTTCTGGAGACGGTCTGCCCGAGCGCTCCGCCCGCCCATCAGGATTCGACATCTGGCTCTCTTGGCCTTAATGAGATCCTTGTCGCAGTTGGGTTCTGCTTCTTCAACTGTGAATCCCTTTTCGATAGCGGCAGCTAGGATTCAGAACCGTCGCTCCCAAAGTGCGGAGCCGAGATCTGGCATGGGACCATCACCACGATAGCTTGCCCACAGGCGGTGGATACGGGTTTCCAGTGGAGCTTGCTTGGAGACCGGAGCAAGAGGGTAAAATCCTTCCATGCTGAAGAAGAATGTATCCTCGGGAAGGAGCTGACGGTCAACTTGCCATGGGTGACTTGGGATCGTGTAGTCGAAGGACACGTTCGGCGACTCGAGGGTGACACGGATGGTCATATCCCCTGGAGTAGGATCCGGCATCACAGTGCTCAAGACCTGCTCGAAGCACTTCTTGGCACCTTGATCACGGAACTCCAGATCGAGGAACGGGCGGGCCCATGGGGGAAAAACTCGCTAACGGTAACACAGCGGGCCGGGTACCGTGGAATGTCTGGTGAGTCAGTGGCAGTGGCGTAGGAGGATTCGGATCACCACGCCGTCTGCGAGAAGTGTAAGTAGCGACGATTACTCGCCCGGGACCGGCCTCCTGAGGAAGAAGCGAAGTCTGGATCCCCGGATGCGGATGGTGACGACAAGGAGTCGTTGGACTCGCGAGAACTCGTGACATCGAAGACGAAACTTGAGGCGTCCTGGACGAGGCTTCATGGGACGCGGAATTAGCGACCGGAGGGGATGACTCGGGACTTCGGGAAGTTCTCGGGGAAGAAGTCGTCGGAACACCAGGAATAGGCCCATGAAAGCAGCAGATGCCGGAGAAGCTTCAGTCGGTGGTGGGATATCTTCATCATCGGCGGTATCACCAGAAGGGAAATTGAACGAAGGTTCATCGTCGCGGAATCATCTCCACTAACTCCATCTCCATCGTGAGAACCATTGCTGGCGCCGTCCTCATCGCTCTCCTGAAGAATCGGAAGACCGAGGAGGCGGAACCGATGGTTGTTTGAAGATTGGTGTGCTGTCAAAAGGTTTAGGAGGTGATGGAGTATCTTCATCAGAGGAAGAGCGATAAGGTGGCACCAGCCCCTCAGGTTTGCGGGGAGCCTTCAAACCGCTAGGAGCATCCTCATCGTCGTCAGACCAAATAGTAACTGCATCTTGAGCTCATAAGAGCTAGGAGCTCGTGGGGAGGCACTAGCCGGAAGCGAAGGAGTGCGTGACGAGGGAGAAGCCACGTCGCTGCGCTAGGGAGTTCCTGGAGGAGTCGACGAAGCTTGGCGAGTCACCTCCGTGCCCTCGGAGTTCGTCGGAACCGCAGCCGGTTCCTCTTCCATGTCTTCGTCACTCTCATCTCGCGTTAAGTCCACGACCGCCGGAGGTTGGTCGTCCTTCGAAGGCTCAGCCTTTGGAGGAGTGGCAAGAACGGACGTTGGAGATGTAGACGCGGTCGGATGACTTGACATCGAATACGAACGAGACCTCAGGCGACTCTCAGGCGACTTGGCATGGGCCACTGAAGGCGAACGCGCAGGCGGCCGAGACATTGAGCGGCGCGAAACCTGGCTGGAGCGGGAACGAACGGAAGTCGGCGAGCACGAAGCAATCTTTTGACGCTTGGACTTCGGCTTGTTCTTCCAAACTTTTGTCATATGAAGACCCCGGCGACTAGGTGTTGGACTTGAAGCAGCCGGAACCGATTCTTTGCCACCATCACCTGCAGTCCCCGCTCTGCTAGCTCGACCAAATGGAACTGGGGCTTCTCTTCACATGAATCTTCGGAACTGCCGACGTCACTTCAATGACGACTACGTTTGGAAGCACTGCTCTGAACTTGTTGAGCAGTCTTGGCCAGAGCTTCAGCAAGGGCGAACGGATCTTCTTGGTCGCCCGCCTTTTGCTGAAGAGGGCGGAACGTGTCCCGGTCAAGGCCGAGTGTTGAAAGGTCGACCTCGGCAGCTCGAAGACCTAGAACGGGAAAGCATGATCACGAGTATTTGACGATGAGTGCGAATGTCACCCTGAAGTGGGGGCGAGATGCTGAGCTGGACTTGGTGCCGTGCCATCAGCGTCAAATACGGCAAGAGAGCAGTCCTTACGGAGTCTACCGTTGGGTCAGCTGACTCAGCGAGAAGATCGCGCAGCGAATCCACGGTCAACTCCTCCGAAGGCTCAGCAGGAGCTGGAGAAGCAACAGGGACCAGGGCCGATGATTGAGTCCCAGTCTGAAGTGCAGCGGAAGATGCCGCAGCGGTCGTTGCTGCCGGCATTGGCGTTGGTTCATGATCCATGGGAAGAGAAGTTCCTGACGGTGACGAAAGACTCGCTGCAGAAGAAGGTTGTCCAGGCGAACGGTCGGTGTCGACCGGACGAAATTCCTGACGAAGAGAGAGAGGTGATGATCAGCTGGACGAAGATTGGAAGCCACGATGGTGAGTCTTACCTCCAAGCGTGTAGGGTCACGACGTTGTTGTGGAAGAAGTGCGTCATACGCACGGTGTAGAGCGTGGTTGAGAGCGCCGCGGGGACGAGGCTGACGACGAGACATGGTCGCACGGTGGAAACGAATTTGAAATGATGATACCACAACGGGCACCAGTGGCGTGGCTTCCATTGCTACAGGGGCAGTTGTGGTATTGTGATTTCTAAGTAATTACCGATGGGAGAAATTAATGCAACCAGAAAAACGGTCCTGCATCCGAAAAAAAGTACTGCAATTTAGGAGTATTTGTAGGACCAATTCATGACTTGCAGAACATTTTTCGGGTGTGTTAAGGATACACTACCCAATTTGTAATGTCTAAGTGAGCGCGATAGCGCTCCAGACCAACTAAGGTGAGAGGGTGTGAGTCGGGCCCAGTGCCGAGCTCACCAGCGAGTCGTGCGCTAAACACTCCAGTACATCCTATCTTTATATCGCGAGCGAAGTGAACCGCGGGGGCGCCGAAGGGGCGCCCAGCTAAGCGAAGCTCGTCAGGTCACTTTTTTTGTTGCTGTATTGGTACTCTTCTATATAATTAACTCACCTAAAAATGGTGGATGCACCTAAATTTATGACATTTTGTAGGACACTTTCAGTGTTTGCAGGACATTTTGTAGGACGTAGTTGTAGGACATTTTTTTTCGGATGCAGGACCATTTTTCTGGTTGCATTAAATCCATTCATCACCGATGTGGCCACATTCAAGTTGCTCAAGCCACGAACGCTCGGTCACGCGACGGGCGGTGACTACAGTACAAGATGGCCAAGGATACATCACTACCGAACGCTCGTCTGGTCCGACTATGACCAAGATGTCACTCAAGTCGGGTGGTTCGTATCGGTGAAGCTGGATTCACATTCAGCGGTCAAGAACCGACGGACTACGGTACTACGACTCGGTGACGGTTCGAGCGACTCTTCGGTGGGTGCGACTAGCAGTTGAACGCTAGGGGGAGACCTGAGAAGGCACAAGGACAGTTGAGGTAACTGTTGGCACGTGTAGCGATCCATAACGGATCATAGTTCACTTGATATTTGTATACATGATTAGGATTGCATATTAGGAAGAGCTCGAAAGGGCATAACGAATAACAGAACAGAATTTCCACTCATGCACATAGACCGAGGTCCGGCTTTAAGGTAAGCGTCTGGATAAGCTTGTTTGGGTGTGTTATGCCTGTCGGTGGACTCGAAGCTTACTAGCGAGGGTTCATCCGGCAAGGCCAAGTGTGTGTGTGTATTGGCCGATTTGCACGTGTTGGGGAGAGCGAGTTGCCTCCCATATATTCTTCCAGTCGAGTGTTGAACACTCGGCGCCCTCGTAAAAGGCTTACCCGCGCCTGGTACCCTTCCGCTGTTGGGACCACGAGGATCCATAACACTTACTAGCTTTGCTTGTGCTAGTAGCGTGTTCTTATTTTTTTTTTACTGGTTGGCCTATATAAGCGATTTGCAGGTCCAGTCTGTCCCGGTGTAAGGGCTGAGTCTGGGTCTTCAGATCACGCATAAACGATCGTTTACTGTTCTGGTAGACGTATTGTTGTGGGTTTATCCTACCTAAACTAGTAGCTAGAGTTGTCGTAGGTATTACAACACCACAACGAGATGTATGAGGTTATGCAACCTCTGAACCCACTACAAATAGGCAGCTTTTGTCTACACCCTGGATCATATTCCGTTTGGATTCTGGATGGACCATCAATCCATTCGCGTCATCAGATCGTCAATATAATGAGCATTGGCGTTGCGCCGAATTTCCTTTCAACTTATAGCCTTCTTCAATTATATCGAAAACATGTTTAGCTACGTCAAATGTGTGCTCCAACGATATAACAGCGATGTAAGCGATCTGGAATAATTGCCAATCGCCGTGAAAACGTTTCGCAGGTTCGAAGAGTTTTAAATGGGTAGAGTCCTTGTGCACTCTGGCTATAACGTACAGGGTCATTTTGATCATACAGGTCCTATGTTCATTGAAAAGGGACATACCCTAATATTTGGAATGGAAATGTAAGAGAACTAAAGAAGAAGGTAGCAACTTAAAGTTGATTGAAAGGTACAATCCATCGTAGTAAATATAAAAGATTTCAGTCTTCTCGTCGTGTTCTAAATCGTTGATATTCTCGAGTGTTTTTAGTGAATCTGCAAATTCAACTGCAGGTAGATGCTGGATATCACGACGGAATTTCTCGATAATGGTTTTTTCGGGACATAAAGCGTTTTTTTGTTTTTGTTGTTGTTTGATGTCCAAATGCCGCATTCGCACGCCCACGTTACGCTACAGCTGTGGATGATCAACGATTGGGAGTAACACATTCTAAAGTCATTTGTGCTGACAGTGACAGGTGTGATAATGGCTGAAGATCTTTAGAATCAACATTTCTGAGAAGATGAGCTACATGGTCGGGAGGGGAGTGCGATTTTGCCTCACCAGGCTTTTTGCGTCGTTGTCGTGGGCTCTCAGCGTTGTGTGTGGTGGGCTCGTGTGCGATGGGCACTCTGCTGCTTGGGTGTTAAGGCTGTCGTGCGCCATGGGCATCTAAGTGCTGTGTTGAACGTGCAGATGTGCGTGTTCGTTGACACGTTGTTTTGGTGATGTGGACCACGCTACTTATGGACTATGAGAACCCTCTTTTGATCGATGTACCTATTTTGAGAAATATCCTCAGTTCGATCGGTCTTACTTTGGACTATTGTTCCCATATCTGTCACTCCACCATATTACCTAATGTTGTGTATGGGGACGTAATTTCGGATAATTACAAAACCAGGATGTCAAGGTTGTTACTTGGTTTGGCTGGATCAGGTGGAGAATCGTTGTTGTTATGGATCCACAGTGCATCGAAGGGCAACGAAACTTCCCTCGCTTGCGCGAGAAGATGTCACGAGCCCTTTAGGATCAGGTTGCGATTTTTTGCGATTGTTATCGGTGTTGGAGGATCAGATAAGAGCAGGCAGTAAGACGGCGCAATGTACGTCAAGTTTTTATTAAAAAAAAAATGTGTCAGATCATTGTTCATAATCTTGAAATCAGGAAATAGTAGTGGAAATGCGAAATGGGGCCCGGATTGCCAGCAAGTTGCCGGTTCGTTTGACCAATGAGGGACTTTAGTTTTGCATTAAATAGTTATGATTGGTCAGGCATGAGGTACCATAATATGGTATTATAGAATACTAGGTCAAATCCCATAATGAAATCAACCCAATTAAAAGCGCCCTTAATTGGCAGGACCTTCATTCTTGGTCTGCTTTTTTTAATCGGATTATTTGTGTTGACTGCATTGGTTAGGTGTTTCCAAATCACCAGAAAAATTGACAGAATCGACCACTTTTATTAGTTCCTTTCAGTCAGTTTGTTTGTCTTAGAGCAAAAGAGACAAGTAAAACTAGAAAACACGGTTGGATCGGCTCCGAATTGGTATTTCCCCCTTACTTATATTCAAGTTTTAATGAAGCAGGAATGCACTAAAACTCTCAAACGAATAAAATATAAACTGCCAGATAATGAAGTGAGTTGGCGACACTAGATTGGACAAATGGCATTTTCAACGTTGCAGCAAGATAACAAGCGACATTTCGGTTCCACTTGATGGCAGCGTTTTAACAGCCCTGCTAAATGCTTTTTTTCGTCAAGTACGGTGATGTATAGATAAATGGAATTCGTCGTGCAATTGCACGACGAATATGATATGATATTTGGTAGTGGTAACTTGAATTGATATATTGAACAGTGTAGTGTGAGGTGACTATGCAAACCTTGCTCACATTGCATTGGGCTTTTGCAGAGCACTCGCCCAGCTGGTACGCTACTCATGGAGTCCATGAGTAGTCAGGAGTTAAGCAACCGTCCATAAAATCTATAGAAGAGAACAATCTGTAGAAGACGCTAGGCATGAGGGATGTCAGAGCTCTCGCTCTGTCTTCCTCACTTTTGAATCTACTCGGCGACCAACACTTTAGGAAGTGTCAGCTTTCCTATCACTGTGCTAACGTTTTTAGTAGCGGAACGCGTTACAACAGTCATTAAGGCACAGTATGGTGGAAGGGCTGCGCTGCAACCCCGTTAGCGATCCGAAATCCACCACTGAGCTAATCTCCAATACCAAGAGCGGCCCGGTTGTTGATCCGGTTCGCAATCGTCAGCGTCGTGCATCCTCGGAGCTCTTCACGGATACCCTGCTGGATCTGGCGAATCTCCAGTGACGATCTTTTCTCTTGGTCGCTCGATGCAGTGACCTCGTCCATTAAAACCATTCGAACGATTCAGTAGCGCACGAGCAATTGGCACGAGCTAGCGTTCACCCACACTGAATTTCGAACCCTTCTCGTCCGCGGAATCCTGCGAGGTCATGGCCTTCTGCAGCCATGCTTTGCAGACGTTCTGGTCGTCCAAAAACTGACCGAACGGATCCGAATTTGAACGCACCGTGTTTAAAAACAACACAAGGTCTTGCAGGATTGTAGCGATGTTCCACGCTGTCGATCGTGATGGTCCAGCTCAACGAGACGCATGAGACCTACATTCAAGCAGCTCAGCAACCGTACAACTGGCAATATCGACCTTCTCCTTCACGTTCACACTGAACGTGAGTCCGCGAAGCACACGCGGCAGACCATGACGGTATCGGAGATCCATGCGGTTGAAGCCACGGCTAAATGGGCTCCAGTTGTCGGCCACTCGAACAACGGCTTCTCAGCTGCAGTGCTAGTCGGAGCCGCCACCGTCAGCTTCTCCGTGCACCTCTGAATATTCTCCACAAACACCATCTGGGTCTGCAACTGACTGGTCATACCCATCGTCCACTTAAGGGACAGAGTAACAGTAAACGTGAACTTGAGCGCCACGAGGACAAGTCCAGCGAAGGAGGGAGCACGAAGATTGGTCATTTATCGTGGAGAACAGTTCCACAGAAGCTTAAGAGGCAAATAATACACGTTAGCAGATATCTTAACCTCGTTAGCGATGTTTCGCACGTGCATTCGAGACGTAAATGCTTCGTGCAAGACGATTTTCAGTGCACTTTCGCATTTCGCCTATTTGACTGGATTTGTATCCTTGCAATCTTTTGATGTAGGGAATTGGTCGGTCAATATGCACAACGATTTGAAAAAGAATTGCCATACTTGAACGACGAATTACATTGAAGTAGTAATTTCGACTAGTTAACAGCACTAGGACAAGTCATAAAAAATAAAAAAAAATGTTATTAGAATCCAGTTCTTTCAAACAGCTTCGGTGACGTTATAACGTAGGCTACCCTTCAATCTCCGTACAGTTAGCAAAGTAGAGGCTTTCGGAATTATATTTACCGGTATATGAAAATCAGGCATCAAAAGTACTTAAGACAAAAATTATTTTTGGACGGGTTACGTACTTTTGCGCTACGGAAAAACGGTACGTGTAAATCAAGCGCTTCTTACATGTACTTGCTACGTGTTGTCTAAAAGTCGAAATCTTGGTTCAGCGACATTCCACCCTGCTTTAAGACACTCTTGCTGGAATATGTCACTGCGAGGACACGCCGGCGCGCGTTGAATCGGGCTGGTCTAGAGAATACCAGAGCCTCGCTATCTAGTAGTGCTGCGAAGTTGACATACTAGGCTATAAGCTAAGCTCAGCAGCACACACTTTCTCGTCGTACAGCTACTTTAAGGATGCGTGGTCGGGGAGCCAAAGTCCGCTCTTTGTTGTTCACGAAGTGAAAGGTAGTACAATCTCCAACTTAGAGATTGTACTACTTTTCACTTCGTGAGTTTAAATCACGTGCTTCTGAATTAACAGCGCTACGAAATGAAGCGTTCACGTATATCTACTTTGCGGTTTTGAGCTACATGTATTTCATGTGACGGTCCTTCAGAAAGCCTCTAATGCCGACATTCCTGCCAGCATGACAATTATGATTTGGCCAACGGGGATAACTGGAGAGCGGGGACAGCTCACAGCAGCTACTACACTTAGATCTGGGCAAGAGAAACAGACCCCGACTCTCGATCGGCCATTGAGGAGCATGATGCAACTGTAGTAAACACCTTGTTGATTTTTTATCATTCATTTCCATCCAATCACATTGGTATATTGTTCCGTGACTCTCTCGTTGTACGAATGCTCGACACGAATAGTTTATAGCACAATGAACCTTCTAATATCAGTAATCTTGTACTGTACATGTAGTAGATTGCACACTATCTTGCTGTAGTTTTTTTTTTTTTTTTACTGTACGATCAGCCTTTGACCGCTCACGGTTCCGTCCCAGTAGCATCATCTGGGTGGACTACCAGAACCATGTCACTCATGAGGTCACAGAGCTCTACGAGGAGTGACTGTTCATTAGATTTAATACTTTGTACGACTTTCTACTAAAGCCGCGAACTTAAGTGCTGTTTCACCTTTGGGGTTAAGCCAATAGTAGCTTTTACTTTCGAATCGGTGAGTACTCAAACTGCTTACGTTCTCACAGTCCCATGTGAATCGGAAAACCTCGTGAATCGAGTTTTTGGGGTTAATTCGGTTCACTAATTTTGTCCTGAACCATGGTTCACTTCTGGCTTGTTCTGGCCGTGATATAAATAGATCTAAAATATTTTTAACAGGGGGTTTCCCTTACAATAAGACAAAGCCGTGCTGGCACCCGAAGAAGCTCAGGATTTTTATTGGCGCTTTTCTATTTCAAGGAGTTTATAAGAATGGATACATCGACGTAGAAAAATGAAGTAAACCTCAGTTAATATGTATTTGCTCGTACTCTTTCTGCTCGAG